ACTCTGGAGGTACAGGTAGAGGCAGGAGGATTGGCTGAGCTCAGGAGTTCAAGACCAGCCTGAGCAACAGTGAGAACCCCCCTCTCTACTACAAATAGAAAAACTAGCTGGGTATTGTGGCAGGCTCCTCTAGTCCCAGCTTCTCAGAAGGCTGAGGCAAGAGAATTGCTTGAGGCCAAGAGTTTGAGGTTGCTGTGAGCTATGCTGCCACAGCACTCTACCCAGGGTGACAGAATGAGACTCTGTCGGAAAAATTTTTAAGAAACGAAAGAAGTCAAGTTATTACAGGAAAACTTATAGCAGTAGGTATGCTAACTCTGTTTTTCTCCAGAAGACTTTATAAAGGTCTCCTGTGAAAAAAAATAATCTTTTGAGTAACTGAGGGGCACAGCTCCCACACTGAAAAGTGTTTGGGGTCCATCATCTTTTCTGGCCTTCTGTTTTTTGACTTCTGTTCTTTTTTCTTTTGACTATTTCTCCTGGAAAAGAGAATACTAAGGATACTTATTCCTCCTTTCCAGTACAAACAGAAGCAAATCCACACTGTATGTGAGATATTTGCATTTTCTTCTAAAATATTCATTTTTTCTTTTAAAAATATTCATTTTTCTTCACTTGTGCTTCTTCTAAGCACTTCTTTGTCCTGTTTTCTCCCGTGCTCTTTCCTACTTCCAATATCAGCAGGTTCTGAAGTTATCTGTACTTGTTACTGCCGCTTGCTTGCTTAGTAACAGTACATGGATATTCATTTCTGATTTAGAGATTAAATCACCAAATCTGAGTGAGGTGAGGGTTGCCTGGGGTTACACAATAAATCTGGCCCCAAACAAGGGTGACCCTTGAGTTTCCAGCCTGTTGATTGGCCGCTGACCCATGCCGGGCGCAGGCACACAAAGGAAGCTGCACCCACAGCACTCTGTGGACGCTGCTGAGCTCCGCACTAGTTACTGGGATCGCTTTGTTTCCTGCCAGGACCAGCATTTTCTGCCAGCCTATTGGCTG